TTTTGCAAAATGTTGCTATCTGAAAATTTTGCAATCTTAAGGTGGTGTAAAAAACAGTATATTTTGGAGCCGATAATTTTGTAATAATTTTGTTATATTGTATTGATATGTGATTGCATTTATGTTTGATGACTCATGACATAGTCGCTGCCAATCATGTAATTTTATTTAGTCTTTTTATTTTCTTTTTACCTTAAAGTGTGCCACTATGTAGACTATATGATAGAGCTGTGCACAGCTGTTATAGGAGTGCAAATTTACTTTCTATTATATATTATCATATCTAATATTATCAATATTTATATTAATTTGTATTCTGTAGCTGTGCCAAGAAATAAATAAATAAATAAATATATGTTACTGTAAAAGCCCGTATTGGTTAATCTTAGGTTTTACCGACATGGTGGTAAATGTAAGGATTTATAAAAGAAAGACTCAGGATTTTACCATTACAATTTGTTACATGCATTACATGCATTACATTGCATTACATACATTTTCCTATTGACGGCTGGTAAACGTTGGTTTTGGAAATAAAACAATGAGTGCTTTTTAATAATTTTTTGCAAGTGACTATTAGGTGAAAAGGTCAAACCTTACACATTTTCATGTGTCATATGAAAATAATTAATCAGTCAAATCCTTTTTTATTTCAAATTTTTTTTTTCATTTATTTATAAGGCACCAATAAAGTACATCATAAATACATTACAATCTAGCCAAATACAAAACTAATAAGTAATTTACATTTCACTTAATGTAATACATAAACAAATTATACTAAGAATTCACCCACTGGCAATTTTCTTATCATCTATTAAGGCGAAGACACTTTTATCATTGTTCAGTGTCACTGGCACTAATTAATTTAATCTTACAAACACTTCACTAGTTCACATGGTTTTGTCTGCTTTAATCGTCTTATGATATATGTGTGGTCAAGGAGTTGAATGGCCTGGACGTTCACATGATGGTGAAGCCTGCGTTGGTTGGCTTCGGCGTATTTCTGTGATCTTCGTTTCGTACGTACCAAGAGCCATTCACAATATTCCTAAGTACTTTATTCTGGAAACGTTGAATAATATCTATGTTGGTCTTTGCGGTGCAACCCCAGAGCTGTATAAGTAAATAATTATTTTCAATTGGTATTTTTATTCATATTTTTTTATTAACTTGTCATTTTAAAACACCTCAAAATAATATAAATACATAATATAATATAATAATACTTTTTGAATAAAAACAAATATACTTTAGATAGGTCAAATCTTGGTTGCGCCACCCATTCAGTAGATTGGGTTAGGTTAGTATATAAAAAAACAGCCAGCGAGTGGCAGAAGCGAATTTGTTTTAGTTTTCGAACTTGTTTTCAGGTTTACCCTTGTCCTTTTTCAACATTTACCGTGCCTTTGAGGTAAATCCTTGGATATACTGAGTGAATGATGGCAAAAGTTTGAAATGAATGATGATCACAGACATGTTCGGACTTTTACTATTGAGAGTTGGTAAATCTTAGGTTTTAGTGGAAAATTTTAGGAGTTACCGTAGTTCGGGCTTTTACAGTAACATATTATGACTATGCTATGATTACTCTATGATTTCAACGTACTAAATTGCTGGCGGTGACGCGCCATTTCAACGCACCGTGTGGCATATCGTTTTGATTTAGGGACATGCCACATGGGAGTTGCGTTGGCGTTGTGTCGTCACAACTGCGTTGTACTACCTATAAATCAGAAAGACATGCCACACGGTGCGTCAAAACAGCGCGTATTGACGGAACAGCTCGTGTGGCACTCAGTTCATTGAAATCAACGCAGTTGCAACGACGCAACGTCTATCTGCGGATTGTTTACATACATACACCACACACAGCCTTCTTTCTGATTAACAGCTTTCAAATTGTCTGGATACATGTATTTTAACTTACTTAGCTATAAAATAGTACGAACCGATAACGTTAGATCTTTGACAACATCGTGTCGTGTCGTGTTTACTGTGTAGTGAACCACAATCGATTTCACAAGCAAGCATATGTTTTAAGTTTATTTTTGACAATGTAAGCATAACCTCAATAATAACAATGGAAAACAACCTTGGCGACATACTTTCATAATAAATGAACCCACGAAGCATAGAAAACTAGCCAAGTTTTTTGCTATTTAAGCTTATGGGAGACTGCCGAATCATTTATTATTATTACTAGAAGAAGAACATTTTCTGTAGACAACTAATCAAAGATAATAAAGAGTCTAAGCTCCCTAGATAATCGGACAATAATTAGAAAAAAATTCAAAATGAAGTTGGTAAGAATATTTATATAATAAAAACGAGCATACAGTACATTTTCCATTGAATAATAATTAAATCATTAAATTAAATTAGCCTGAAGACCTTATAGAGCAAGATTTTCTATAACTTTAGATTTTTTATAACATTAATAAAGATGATAAATAATAAGGGTCTAAGAATAGAACCCTGCGGGACACCAGACAGTATTGACGTCCGTCTTGACTTTAGGGATGGAAATAATCTAAGGTCTAGACAAAAAACAAGGCAAAACCTACCTGACCTGTAGTGCCTATTTATGATGCAACTAAGCGTAGAAGATCTCTGTGGATACCGCTAGCATCAACTTCTTCAGAAGCATATTGTTGTAATGCGATCAAAACATTTGGCGGAATCAATTGCATCACCAAAGAAACGACGTCGTATTCACCGGTCGCGTATTATAGCGCTTTTTCCTCCACTTCATCATTTTCTATAGAAAAACTGTACATATTTTGGATTAAAGACAATATTAAAGCCAAATCAATACGTAAAATTCTCGCAATTGGCAAGTACCAATGTACGCTAGTATACATAGTATAGCTTTACCTACCAATGACGTCATGCGTTCTGAGCTGACGTGTAGTGCTGATTTTTTTATTACTTTTAAACATAGTTTTAGGGACTTTAAAAGCTTTATTAATGTAAAATAATATTTATCGTGGCTCCTCTATAAGTCCATTACGGTGAAATTTAAATGTTCTGGAAAAATCTGGCCGATTGCATATTCTTACTTTTTATTTAAGAGCTACGCTCTTTGTTGGTGAAGTAATCACTAACCATCGCTTCACCGCTCAAACTTTTGAGTTCCTGATGTGACATGATATTAACTTTATCCTCTCTAAATTAAGCCAATCTGATGTAACAACTCCATCAAGGTCTTTCCCTTCCCCTCCTTTCCTTGATCTTCCCTACTATAATGCTTCTAAAAAAAGTATCGTGACGTATTTGATGCCTAAACATCTTTTCCTTTTGGTCTGTTGACTTTAATAAGCTTTTTCTTTCCTGTAGTGCTCTTAACACCTCTTCTTCTTCTTCCTGCCCTTTTCCCATTTTATTTGGGGTCGGGCCTCCTTGTTCGTCGGCACCAGGGTGCTCTGTCCTGGGTAGACGTTGGTGAGGTATTCAGGGCGTTCGAGTCTTTTTCAATTTTTTTATTAAAAAAAGAGAACATCTTCACATCACATTTCTGCACATATTTTACCTGTTCTGTTCTGTGTGTTTTTTTTAACCTGTGTTCAAAAAAATATATTTTTTACTTTGTTATCTGAATAACTTACAAAAATAACTCCTTATTTTCAAACATAACTAATAAGGGCCACCATGGGGCCACCTATTACTTACACATTATGTCATTCTAATATGCTGTTCTATGTCGTCTTTGATATAATTTTTCATGTGCAGTTATATTTCTATCATTCGCTCATCCATTCAGTCATTCAATAAACATACAATATTAATACTTTTACTTTAATAACGTATTACTTATATTTCGTTTATGTTTCTAATATTATTAAATCTCCCGGGAAATAGATTTTACCCACAATTATGGCAATAACAAAATTACGTTGTATGCTATTTTGAGGATAATATGCGAAAACTTTGGTACTAAACTTGAAAGCACCTTCCCCAAGTTTTCAAAGAAAGCGTTAACACAAATTTCGTACAACAAAGTGCTTTTAACAGTTTTGTTTTGTAGTTAGATACAAATTTTTAACATTGACCAATATCGTGTATATTTTAAAGAAATATTTACCATTAATAATGTTGACTAACGTATTGATTTATGGTATATTCATAATTGATGACGTCGCCTTTTTTCAAAGTAAATAAATTAACGTACTTGGTAATAAGCGTTTTACTTCCATTGGATTATCTACAGTCTTTAATATTTGATTTGTAAATTATAGCTACAGAACGACTAATTTAGCCGTCTAAGGCAATAAATTAGTAACTAGTTCACGTTGAAATACTGTTATTATGGAATATTATAGTAACACTGTAGTCTAGAAACACAGTTCATATTTCAGTCGATATTTAATGGTATAATGATTTGTAATTTTAGAGCTGTACTTTGACTATTGATGATGTCAACAAATTGAATAAAAACTTCCAAATCTGGGACTTCAAGTTTTATTTCAAGGATAATTTTATTAGTCGAATGGAAAGTGACGATTAGGGCGACGACGACGTAGCATGTAGACTAAATAATGATTATTCACTCGCCTTGAATTTTTGGAGAACAAGTCTGCAGGCAGGGAATTCTACACCTAAGACAGAAGTTCGTCGTATAAATTTAGAAGCGAAATGCTTCGTGCGAATCATTGGAATATCTAAAACATAGGGGTGGAACCTGAGCCTACGTCGAGTCCCCCGTTGATGGAAAGGGGAACGCCGAAATAATAAATCATGCAATTCATGTAATTATGATAGAGCTCAAGTGGATAAATAACGTTTAACGGCAAAAACCTTTTATCCAATGATCTGTAATAAACGCATAGAGAAATTTGTAAAGTCTGTTGACTCGGTTTATAGCTCAGTAGTATGACAATAGACACTGGTACGATTCCAGTCTGATCGAAGAAGTTTTTCTTTGTATTTTTCGATGTTTGTATCTAATAATGATAAAATGTTTAACGTGTTAACTAATCCATGTCCCTTTGTTTCAGAAGAAAGCCTAGCCGAACTACACGCAGGGGCTACATCGAAACCACCATCCGTTACTACGATAATAACATTAATAACGTTAACCGTTGTAACGAATCAAGTTAACCGTTATAGGTTACAAGCTACGTTATTCTTGACATCACTATTTATGGCTATCGCGACCCAAAGCGTTGTAAGAGATCAGTTTATAGTGACGTTACCTACGTGATATAAGAATTTGTAAATAATCGTTATTAAGATATGAATAGTTACTGGGAAATAAAATTTCATTGTATATTTTATGCTGTTTTATTTCAAAGAGCTTTGGGTAATTATTTCCTAAGTTCTTCATTGATTTTTACTATAATTCTAATCCAAACTTCCAAACTAATATTATAAATGTGAAAGTAACTCTGTTTGTTACGTTTTCACGACTAAACCGTGGAAACAATATTGACGAATTTTGATATATAGATAGGATCTTGGTGAAGGACATAGGCTACATGAAGTAGATACTTATTGTACGCAGACTAAGTCGCGGACACCAGCTAATTAAGTAATACAGTAGATAGAAAATTTTACAGAACGAAGACCTAATTTTGATTTTGAAAACAATTCGAACTGCATTTAAAGATTTTTAAATAATCGCCTGTCTGAACCGGAATCGAACTGTACTATACTGATCGAAAGCCTCAATCACGAGGATTGTTTTCTTCTAAATAAATTAGCACCTTAAATAAAAGGAGGACCATCAAATCTCGTATTTGATTTGATTTAATTTCATTTATTTAAATTACACTTGAAACCGTCACATTGATTAAACTCTACATTATTAAACCATACACCATTTTTATAAGAAATACATTAATACATTCATCATTCAGCCATACGACGCCCACTGCTGGGCATAGGCCTTCCCCAACCATCTCCACGACGATCGGTCCTGCGCTGCCCGCATCCATCGGCTTCCCGCGACCTCCACCAGATCGTCGGTCTACCTGGTGAGGGGCCTACCCACTGAGCGTCGTCCGGTGCGCGGTCGCCATTGAAGAACCTTTCCGCCCCAACGGCCATCGGTGCTCCTAGCTATGTGCCCCGCCCACTGCCACTTCAGCTGAGCAATTCTTCGAGCTATGTCGGTTAACTTAGTTCTCCTACGGATTTCCTCATTTCTGATTCTATCACGCAGGGAAATACCATCGCTCTCTCCATTGCCCGCTGAGTGACCTTGAGCCTTCTTATGAGGCCCATAGTGAGGGACCACGTTTCTGATCCATATGTGATCACTGGCAACACACACTGGTCAAAGACTTTCGTCTTGAGACATTGAGGTAATTTGGACGCAAAGATTTTTTGGAGTTTCCCGAACGCTGCCCATCCGAGCTGGATTCGACGAGAGATCTCTTTCTCAAAGTTGGACTTACCTAACTGGACTGTCTGCCCCAGGTATACGTAATGGTAAGTTGCCGGAATTAAGGATTATCGAGCCCTCCTCCTCTCTTCGGACTTCAGATAGCCCAATGATACCCCAGCGTAACTTACTAATAGCTTCTTCCAATTCTGTGAGCTTTGCGGGGATCCTCAATGTGCGCGTGTTGTAGGTTGCCAGGTCCAGTCGTCGTCGTTGATGGTAGCCGGGTCTCCCCCGGGGATTCTTCGCACCCCATGCCCTGTTTCCAAAGCCGTTACCGTGACTAGGAAGAGCAGGACTGCCGGGGACTAGGGGCCAATTCTTTGGTGTGTGTATCATAGGGGGGGTTGTGTCATAATCGCCACGCTTGGCAGGCGGGTTGGCGATCGCAGTTCTGGCCAAGATGGGTAGAAGACGCTGCTGCCCGTTTTCTTCTGACAATTTTTTCCTTAGTCGCCTTTTACGACACCCACAGGATAAGAAGGGGGTGGTGCTATTCTAGGCCGGTACTACACGGCAAATTACATTAACACAGACCAGAATAAATTTAAAAATATTTTATCGAAGTTTACTTTTTTCTTAAAGCTTCCAATCGACTTCATATATAGAAGGCAACCTACTTACATGTCCTGCGAATGGGTGTCCTCCTGGGAGCGCTTATTGGGCCTTAAATTTACTAAAGATACAAAGAGCAACGACGATTACAAAAATAGAAAATTGAATACATAAGGTATCTCGTCGCCTATACAAAAATCACATTACATACAACATTGCGAGCACGTATGCAAAAGTTATTTGGGTTGTTTTATTAAAACAAGCTATAAGTACGTAAAGTTTATTTATTTTAAAACATGAGTAGAATAAACCCTCTTTAATTTCATTTTTAAACCCTTTTACATGTAAATATAATACATCGTAGCTTTTGATATAAGAAAGCCACATGCAATCGTACGTCCTTTTTTTATTTTATTTGATCAGTCAACAATTGTTCCAACAATAAAAAAAATCAGGACTATACATGCAAAAACTTAAAACTAAAAGCACAAACTACTAAAGACCGATATTACATGCACATTAAATTATTGCAGAGTACTAAAAGGAATTTACAAAAAGAAATTATTTAAAAATAGCAAAAGCATAGAAAGAAACACATTGACAGAATTTTAGGAAGGTGACGATATTACGCATATTATTGGTTTTTTACTGCAGAGAACTAGTGTAAGTCAGTCGTCGTTGTACAACTGGCAAAGCCTATTATCATAGTTAGATGTCCAAAATGTAAACAAAGAAATGTCATGGCCAAAGTGTGAATGCAAGTGTGCTAAACCTTATATTTAACTTGCCATTTTCTACAATCTTAATTATCAGTTACTAAATATTAACAGGAAAAAAAATTTAGGCAACAACAAATAATAATTTAATGCTGTACCAAATAGTATAAAAAGTCAACCAAATATAAAAAAGTTTGAAAATCACCTCAAAAAATATCTTCTGGACAACGCATTTTATACATTACAAGATTTTTTCTCAGAAAATAACACTCAAATACTGTACTAGTTTTGATTTGTTTAATGTAAGTTTTATTTTTGATATTGGGTAATTATATGACAATTTTTTTTTAAATTACTATTATTATTTTGACTATTTTAGTAATGTATAATTTTTGACAATAAATATGACATGTAATGTAATAGATATGTAAATGGAATATTGTAAAGTGTGCTCTCTCTCTCAGATGTTGCAACGCCCTACCGGGGTGCTATATGTATAAGGAAAAAATGTAAAATTTAGATCTAAGAAAACCATGTAGCAAGCAATGAATAAATAAATAAATAAATAAATAAATAAATAAATAATTTAACAAATGCACAACGGAGGCAAGAAAACATTCGAGTACGAGAAATGAAGCACGAATGACATTTTTTGACACGACAAAATGGCGGCACAAAAATGTTTTCCTTCCCGATTGTGTTACCGGCGTCCTAAGAGGATGGAAAAAAAAGGTGTCATAAAATTATTTACGACCTTAAACATAGCCTTTTAATAAATTCATCACCATCATCATCATCATCATATCAGCCGAAAGTAGTCCATTGCTGAACATAGGCCCTCCCTAAATATCGCCAGACTAGCCGACATAGCTCAATGGATTAGCAAGTTGAAGGTTGAAACCACGAACCGGAAGGCGTTCAATGGGACGCCCGCCTCCCCCTACAAGACGGACGGGCGGGTAACTGACGAACACACGTCGCGTGCGACCGGCTAGTCCAGCAATCTTAATAAATTGTATTAAACGAAATTAGGTAAAAACATTTAATAATATTGCAAAATGTGAATAGTTCTAAGTTTTATTAGATTACGGCTTTAAAAGACTTCTAAACGTTTATTTTTGTCAAAAATGGGAGACTACCGTTTAAAATTGAAGAAAGCTGCTGAGCATTTGCGAATGAATATTTGAATTTGAATTTGAATTAAAATGTATTATTTTTACTCGGTGTTTTTGGACATCTGATTACTCATATTATAGATGTGAACAGCCCCATATCTTTCTACATAAGTTTTGTTTATATTGCCCCTTCCTATCAACCTCTTGGTTAAGCGAGCTCGCACAGGGACCATTTAAGTCAGGTCCTTACCCCGGATTAGCACGTTTGCACGTACTTCATCCGGTTCTCTGTAAGGCTAGTGCTTGAGGTGAGCCGCCCAGGGTGCATATACAGCATCCCTATTTTCCAGACAGGTACCAGAGCTGTAGGCACGCTCACATCCCGTCGCGCTCGGCTAACTATCGGTTGCCACCGCTGAGCCCCCGACTCTAAGCCGACTACCAAATCTCCTCATTGGTGGTAGATCTATAAGGCACGCTCACTTCCCGACGCCGAATGAACGGCGTCTATCCAGTTCCCAAATTCCTACGCGGCCGGAGGGACCGGAAGATGTCTAGCTCATCCTCTACTAGCTCTCCGGGCTAGTGCCGGAGATGCTAACATGTAAAGGGCGACACACGTGAACCGTGCGCGCCTTCGCGTCAGGCCCTCGCCCCGGCCATACACCGCAGCCGGCCGTCGAGGCCGTAGTCTCTCCGGAAAACTCTATCTCTCGGGTCGGTAGATAGGGACATATAGGTGTGAACAGTGGGAATACTGTGTAGACACTCGGATTTCGCTACACACAGCGGTAGCGAATAGATAACGCCTATACCTATCTGAACAGGCCATGCACGTATATTCTTGTACACAATTTTGTTTAACGGCTTGGAAATAGATAGAAATTTTCCTTTCATCCATACTTGGTCGACTTGTTCCTGTGATACTAGGTGCCTGGATGTTACTTAGTGTCATTAAAAAAAATGCTATGGATATTTTTGTGAGTATTTACGAGTAATATAGAAACGTACTAAAAGAAAACCGCGATGAAGAGCAACTCATTTCGCGTCAATACATTGATGCAATTGTTCCGTGCTTCAGACATTTGTTAAAACTCTGCTTCAGACAGTGAAAAAGAACGCTCTAAGTGTTTACTCCGTGGAACCGCTGAGCACTGGCGCTATTAGATTCTTACAAAAGATTGCAATCTCAGAGTTCGCTTGAGCTAAACGAGGCTGTAAAACAAAGCGAATATGGAATATATAAATAAGTGTAATATCTTGCAGTGGTTACAAAAGTTCTTAACCCATTAGCACCCAAATACAAATCAGCGTTAAAAATAGTTTTTTTTTTATGAACCTTTAGAAAATAGCCTACTTATGAGAAAATGTCATTATTTCGTTGAAAATTACTTATAGATGAAAGACTAATAAACTACCCCATATGCGCCCAATGGCTCCAATTGGGGACACCGTTATATTCTACCGTCTGAAGTT